CAGCCCCCCTCTGATGTCTTTCGTGTCTCTCCATTTAACTGTATCTTTTCTGATATCTTCAGTTTTGTACAGCTTTCAGCTATATAACAAACCCTATATATGGTTTATAGGATCTACCCTTAAGTGCTTTGTTATTTTAAGCAATTGTAAATGATTCTGCATTTTTCATTTTGGTATTTATATAACAGTGATGACATATGATTGGGTACTAGATTTTTTTTTTGGTCAAATAATTTTCTGCACTTACTGGCTATTGCATTTTCAAGAATTAAGCCAGCCTTACTTCCTTAAAATAAACTCCATTGAGTCATTATATACACATTAATACATATACACACACAGACATACACACTCACACACACATTGTATGTATACTGGACTTGGACTTGAAATCGGGGACCTGGGTGCTGGCCTTGAACTTTTTTGCTCAAGGTTAGTGTTCTACCACTTGAGTCACAGCTCCACTTCCAACTTTTTGGTAGCTAATTAGAGATAAAGTCTCAAGGGTTTCCTATTTGGGCTGGGTTCAAACCGCAATCCTTAGATCTCTAATTCCTAAGTAGAAATGGATTCCAGATATGAGCCACCAGCACCCAGCCATAATATCTACTTTTTATGTAAATTCTGCTGATAGGGCTGGGAATATGGCTTAGTGATAGAGTGCTTGCCTCGCATGCATGAAGCCCTTGGTTTGATTCCTCAGTACCACATAAACAGAAAAAGCCAGAAATGGCGCTGTAGCTCAAGTGGTAAAGTGCTATCCTTGAACAAAAGAAGGTCAGGGACAGTGCCCAGGCCCTGAGTTCAAACCCCCCCAGGACTGGTTAAAAAAAATTTAAATTAAAAAAAATACCTCTGATAGGGCAAAGGACCATTAGTTTTTCTGTTACATACATTTGGCTAGAACTGAGCTTGTCTGAGGATTGTCTTGTGAAGCTGCCCCATTCCCAGTCCTCTAGCCAGAGGACTTTGTTATACTTTCAATGGTGAAGTTAATATTCTGGCTTGCTGGCCTTTTCAAACCTAGCTACAAGAGATAAAACAAAAACCCGAGGACTTGACCACAGGTCTCATCCTATGGTCTGTCCTCTTATACTACCCCATAATAAGATCCTGGGATTTTATATATACTGACAAGAATAAGGAAAATTATCTCCATGTCATCTAAGCTAGAAATGAAATTCCCAGCCTTTAAGTTCATAGCTGAATATAGAGCCCCACTTGCTTTTTCTTCTCTATCATTATCTTTTATTGACAGCACCAAGATTTGAACTCAGCTCCTTCACCATGCTAGAAAGATGCTTTACACTTAAGCTACATGCCCAGCCCAATCTGGTTTGTTTTCTGAGTACTATACTAATTCTTTTTTTTTTTTTTTGGGTCCGGTCGTGGGGCCTGAACTCTGGGCCTGGGCACTGTCCCTCAGCTCTTCAGCTCAAGGCTAGCACTCTACCACTTGAGCCACAGCGCCACTTCTGGCTTTTTTCTTTTTGCTTATGTGGTGCTGAGGAATCGAACCCAGGGCCTCAGGCATGCAAGGCAAGAGCTCTACCACTGAGCCACCTTCCCAGCCCAAAGTATCTTCACCTTTTTTTTTTTTTTTTTTGGTCGTGGGGCTTGAACTCAGGTCCTTCAGCTCAGGGCTTGAGCGCGTCCCTGTCCTCTTCAGCTCAAGGGGAACGCTCTACCGCTGGAGCCACAGCGCCACTTCCTACTATACTAATTCTTCCCCCAACTCCCCAGTAGTCTCTCAATGTATTCTTCCACTCAACTTAAGACATAGGTTGACCTGAAGACGCATGTACTTCCTCTCCAAAGCTGGCCAACTCTTCAGATTCATGTTCTGGACATCATTGTTCAATCATTGCAGGGACTACCCGCCTTTATTCTGTCAGAAAGGTTGTCAGACCCATGTCTTCTTTCAGATTTGTATTTTGAGATGACACATCCTCCAGTAACTTCTCAGAATAGCCTCCTGAAAGCTCATTTTTGTTTTGTTGTTGTTTTGTCAATTGTGGGACTTGAACTCTAGGCCTAGGTGCTGTCCCTGAGTTCTTTTTGCTGAAGGCTAGCACTCTACCACTTTGAGTCACAGTGCCAACCCTCATTTTCTGGTGCCTATTTGGAGATAAGAGTCTCAAGGCTCAAGTCCTGCCCAGGCTCACTTTGAATGGCATACTTCAGATCTCAGCCTCCTGAGTAGCTAGGATTACAGGTATAAGCCTCTGGTGCGCAGCCGAAAGCTTGGGTTTTGAGAACCGCGTTTCTAGCTTTTGACAGGATCTGTTCAATGTGGAAAGTCAAAACTGTCAGTTCTTCAGACAGTTTTTGTTTCTCTCCCCTTCTTTTTAGTTTGTTTTCTTCTTATTTGGTGCGGAGGATCAATCACAGGGCCTTATACATGCTGAGTAAGCATTCTACCAATGAACTACATCCCCAACTGAACTGTTGTTGCTTTACCATTTTTTCTTTGTTTGTTTGCTTGGGTTTTTTTTTTGGGTCCGGTCGTGGGGCCTGAACTCTGGGCCTACGCACTGTCCCTCAGCTCTTCAGCTCAAGGCTAGCGCTCTACCACTTGAACCACAGCTCCACTTCTGGCTTTCTTCTTTTTGCTTATGTGGTGCTGAGGAATCGAACCCAGGGCCTCAGGCATGCAAGGCAAGCGCTCTACCACTGAGCCACCTTCCAACCTGCTTTACCGTTTTTATAAGTTTCTTCTAAGCCAGGTACCAATGGCTCACTCCTATAATCCTAGCTACTAAGAGGCTGAGAGCTGAGAACTGAGAACTGAGGTTCAAAGCCAGCTCAGGCAAGAAAGTCCATGAGACTCTTATCTCAATAAACTACTCAGAAAAGGCTGGAAATGGCACTGTAGTTCAAGTAGTAGAGCACTAGCCTTGAGCACACAGAGGCTCAGGGACAGAGCCCAGGCCCTGAGTTCAAGCCCCCAGAATGGGCAAAAAAAAGTTTCCTCTCACGCTCTCCTCCATTCTTTTTCCTTGCAAGTCAGATATGATTTCTTCTGTTTAGTCTTTTTTAGAGATTTTTTTTTTAATTTTTTCAAGCCCAAGTTTTTAGAGAGAGACAGAGAGACAGAGACAGAGAGAGACAGAGACAGAGACAGAGAGCGAGAGCGTGTACACGAGTACTAAGGCTTGAACTCAGGACCTAGGTGCTGTCCCTTAGCTTCTGCACTCAAAGCTAGCACTCTACCAATTGACCCATAATTCCACTTCTGACTTGGGCTTGAAAAAAAAAAGTTTTTTAAGAGTATCAGATATTGACATGCTCTATATATCAGTGATTTGGCAAAGGCTGGACTAACCTCCATTTCTAGAACTATGGTGGAGCTGCAAACTTTCTACTGCCTGGTGATTCTGTGTTCTCCTAACTGAGCAGTGCAATACATTTTTCAGGCTGCAGTGATGCTGGGGTAGATAAGCCTTCTACACTGCCAGTCATGTGAAAGTATTGCACATACAATGCTGTCCAGTATGGGATTCTTGATAATTGTAAGAAATGACTGATGCTGGTTTATGGACTTAGTATTTACTATGCCACACACTTTATCATTCAAGTACACTTTAAAAACCTAGTTTAGGCTGGGAAGGTGGCTCAGTAGTAGAGTGTCTTGCATGCATGAGGCCCTGGGTTCAATTCCTCAGCACCACATAAGCAGAAAAAGCTGAAAATGGCGCTGTGGCTCAAGTGGTAGAGCGCTAGCCTTGAGCTGAAGAGCTGAGGGACAGCACCCAGGCCCAGAGTTCAGCCCCCACAACCGACCAAAAAAGGGAACCGGAAGTGTTTTTCATTTCCATTTGCTCATTTCCATTTCATCCTACGTTAACCTTGTTGTAATAAAATCCTTGCTAAAACTTAAAAGGACAAAAAAAAAAAAAACAATAAAACCAGCTTGCTGAAAAGTTTGCTGATGTATGGTTAGCTGTGTGCATCCTGTTTTCTGTGTGTCTTGGTTCCATTTAGAGGTCATGATGAATGACTGGCCCACACCATTCTAGGTCTGTGTAAGGACACTCTGATGTTTACAATAACAGTTGCCAGATGACACAATTCTCAGAATATATACTCAAATACTAAGGGATATGTGACTAGATTTTACAATGTTTATCCTTGCTACCCTATGTTTAAAGTAAGGGTCTGGAAAGCTGCTGGAAGCGGGATACTGACTGCCAGGCTGGGTGGTAACCCCTAAGACCATTATGGGGCTCCTCCCAGCTTCCCCAACAAGAACTCTTCTACAGATCCCTATGAGGGAGACATCTGGGGGCAGGCTTTCTGGAAGCCTGGAGATTCTTGTCATTCTTAAGAGGTTTTGACTTAACTTCTGGTCTTGACCTGGGTCTTTATCCTCCCTTGTGCCAGGTACCTACACATCTAAAGCCCCCAACTCCTAATGAGGGGTTCAGACAGCCCAGTGCTTCTCCTGAGACCCTGGACTCTTCTCTGAAGGCACTTGAGTCTGATGGTATGAGCTAACTAGTAATCTCACCTTTCTCACATTAATATGGGTCCTCCAAATGTGTTGTCTCCTTTGACTTTGTAACTTTATATCTCTTTTTTGTTTACTATCATTTTAAGAGATTTCACACAGCTTACACAGTATCTTGAGCAAACACCTTTTAGACACAATGAGCTTCAAGCCTATGGTCTGAGGACCCAGGCCCTGAGCAGTGTCCATGACACTGGCAATGTCCCCAGGGCCTCAACCAAGGGGTTCTTGTCATCTCCAGGCCGGAGAAAATGTGTTTTTCTCCCAGCTCTGCAACTTTCTTTTGGTGGGCAGACACATTGCCCACATAACTAGGCTTTGAGAAAGAGGTGGCAGGCAGCATGCTACTATGAAAAGAACCAGATCCTGGGTTTTGAGGAACTGCACCAGAAGAGGTAAGACAGTAGTGGACACAGGCGAAGGTATTTATGTGGAGGTGCCATTCAAAGTCAGTATTTGGCTGTCACACCTGCAGCCTATGATAACTTACCTTCACCTCCTTCTCAATATAGTCGCTCAGCAGTCTGTCGGGCTCGACGCGCTCAGGCAATGATAACACCACAGTGTGCAGAGGGCGCCTCTCTGTCACCTTCTCATGGGCTTTCTTATCTCTAGGCTTTTCACCTTTTAGGAATACTCGTTTAAATGGCGACACAATTCCAGGCTGCAGGCAGAAATGGCAATGATTGGAGTACATTATTCACATGCTTTGCATCGTACCTACAGCTAACAAACAAAAGCAGCCAAAACCACTACCACAGTCCCCATGCAAACAGGGCTGGTAACATCAGATTGGTGAAAAAAAAAAGACTAAGAACAACACAAGCTGAGGGAGAGGGCTCTAAGGCCAGCTCTCCAGCCTATTTCCCTTCTCCAACAATACTTAGAAAGTGAGTAACCGGCCAGCAAGAAGAGAACACATAGGGTAAAGAATCCCCCAGAGGACAAAACACCACCATTCCAAACTCCCTCCAGCTCTTCACAGCCACTTGACTTCAGAGAGCCCTGAGAAGTTAGGCGGGAGGCATGGATATCGCTGCCACCGAGGAACAAGCATACTCTGTCTGTGGTTTCCTTCTTAAAGGAGCAGAGTTTCTCAGGCAGCTCTGTCCCTCTGACAGGGCCCACGCAGCATTAAAGGTTAGAATTCCAATCTCCCACACAGACCAACAGGGAGAAACTCTGACTGGCATCCAGCCAGCCCCTAACACCCTGATCAGAACCTCACAATGTTCATCCAAAGGGAACTGAAACACTCGAGAGGGACCAAGTCACTGTGAAACCCTAGGGCTGCCTAATCAGTGCTATTGTGAGGAAGCAACCCCAAATGCTGTTGAGAGATGGCGCTGCAGTCCCTGTTTTGTCACTCAAACGAACAACCCAGATAGGAGCAGCAACCCACAAACACTAATGGAGTCTCAAGCTGTGACCTATACAGGGGAGTCATGATGTCTCTGCCATTTTCTCTGTGATTCAACAAATAACTGCAAGGAGATGTCAACACTCCTCTTAAAGCTCGCCTACCTGATTGTTAGGTAAGCCTGGTGCCCAGACAGCAGCTGGGACCTACCTTCCCCCTAATAACAAACAAAGTTCATATGAGACATCAGCAGATGCTCACTTTAAAAGCTCTCATTTCTAGCCGGGCGCTGGTGGCTCACGCCTGTAATCCTAGCTACTCAGGAGGCTGAGATCTGAGGATCGCGGTTCAAAGCCAGCCCGGGCAGGAGAGACCGTGAGACTCCTATCTCCAATAAACCACCAGAAAACCGGAAGTGGCGCTGTAGCTCAAGTGGTAGAGCGCTCGCCTTGAGCTGAAGAGCTGAGGGACAGCGCCCAAGCCCAGAGTTCAAGCCCCACGACCGACAAAAAAAAATAAATAAATAAATAAAAGCTCTCATTTCTGCCTCTCCCCACATATTGGAAATCTGGCCATTCACCAAATCCCATACAAAATGGAGTCAGAAGGCCTGTGGATCCAGGAGATGCCAACTCATCCATTTCATGGAAGGACATTACCCTTGAGGGTAGAGTTCAGTATGCCCCTGATCACAGGCAGCATGTTCAGTGACCCAGTGACTTGCAGGTCTGCTGAGGTTAGACCCTGACCAGCATGGACTCTTCCTCTCCCACCACCAACACACTAGCTCTCCAGAACTAGGGAGAAGTCAATGAATAACCAAAGCATCCACCTTCCTCATAAACTCTTCTCACAACTTCCAAGCCTACCACCAAATGTTCACAGAGACAGCTTCACTGTGATTCTTCAAATCTTTGGCTCCTGATGTGGGTTTTATTCCATAGAAACAGACATGGGATCAGGACAAAACACCATACAACTCGATGAGAAAGCTGGTGCTAGAGTTGTATACTCCACACTGCCACCATGCCTGGTCCTCTCTCCAGCTTAAGGACTCTTCTATGTAAGTAGAAAAGGTGCCTAAGCTCAAGATTCAATCTCAATCCTGCTGTGGTCTAGTTGTGTCACTTTGCTAAGCAACTGGTTACCTGAGTTCTTACCATCCCTATAATCTTGAGCATATGAGCATACAGTTGGTATGTTATAATCAAGTAAAACACATGCCAACTGTTATTTTCACAATTGTTTACTCCTAACGGTATATTGTAAATCTATTTCTTCATCTAGTGGCTCATACCGATAATTATAGCTACTCAGGAGACTGAGACCTGAGAATTTTGGTTTGAAACCAACCTAGGCAGGAAAGTCCATGAAATTATTATTTCCAATCACACACACACACACACACACACACACACACACACTAGAAGTACAGCTGTGGCTAAAATAGAACATCAGCCTTGAGTGCAAAAGCTAAGGGACAGCACCCAGGCCCTAAATTCAAGCCCCAGCAGTGGTAGGCACATACACACAAAGAGTAAAAGCATGAAAAATTGGAATGGGGATGAGTCTCAAGTGTAGAGAATCTGTCTAGAAAGCAAGCAAGCACAGGCCCAGAGTTCAACCCTTAACATTATATCCAAAGACAAAAAAGAAAAGGGCAGAAAGTGCTTCTGAAAGAACTGATATGGCCCAAGGCTGCCAGGTCCCTGCTCTGGGACAGGAGAGGGGCAGAATATCTCTGGGGCACCTTTCAGAATTCATTCCTCTCAATCCCACCACATGCTTTAAGTTTTGGCCTGAGGATGAATTTAGATAAGTGGTGGATGGAGTAGGAGGCATTTGGACCTAGTAGTTGCATTGTGGGGTTCTCATGGCAGGATGATAGGAAAGGGTCACTTGTAATTTGTTAACCAACCAAAGGAGGTATAAACTGAAAGCTTGAAAAGCCTCCTAAACCCAGTGATATAGTTTTAGCAGTGTAAAATCATGTTTCTCCAGCCCCACTGAAGACAACTGTGACACCTTCACCAGTGGCACCACATTAGGTGACCAAATGAGATACAAATTACTCTTTTTTTTGGGGGGGGGGTCCAGTCGTGGGGCCTGAACTCTGGGCCTGGGCGCTGCCCCTCAGCTCTTCAGCTCAAAGCTAGCGCTCTACCACTTGAGCCACAGTGCCACTTCCAGCTTTTTTCTTTTTGCTTATGTGGTGCTGAGGAATCGAACCCAGGGCCTCAAGCATGCAAGGCAAGCGCTCTACCACTGAGCCACCTTCCCAGCCCACAAATTACTCTTCAAACACTGGGTCTTCACTTGTTTTTCCCTCCTACAGCTTATGAAATACCAAGGCACACAGACACAAGACTGGCCCTTAAGAAGTATTCCCTACAGACATCAATGACTTCCCATGGCCAAAAGGAAACTCTGTTCCCAACTGATTCTTCTGAAGCCTCGTGGACAGTGACTGAAGGCTGGCTCTCATTGGTGTGCAGCTCAGCTCAGTCTGTCTGCCATTCTAGAAGTTGCCTGCTAGCCAAACTTGTTACTAATCTACACATGGGAGCAACAGGAAACCAATTCTGAGGACAGAGATTTGCCAAGATCAACTTCCAACCTAGAAGCACTCGCCAAATCCACAGGCCCACAAACCACAGGCAACTTACGTTGCTGTTTTAAAGCTCATAAAGTGAGAGTGTGCACACACAATTACAGTGGGTGCTAGGAACAAGCCACCTTAACCAAGGACCCTCTGCACATGGCAGAGGCATCTGCTCCTACAAGGCAAGGATAGCAGGACAGCCCCTGCAGATGCCTCATAGATACGCCTCTAGTCACTGTCTGAGGGTCTGATCTTTCCAGCTATATCTCTCTGACCTTGTCTTTGTGTGGGTGGATGTATGTACTGGGGGTCAAACCCAGAACCTTGTGTATGCCAGGCAAGCACCCTACCATTGAGCTGCACCACCAGTCTTACCTATGGCTATTTTGGGGGGGGGAGGGGAATCCAGTCGTAGGGCCTGAACTCTGGGCCTGGGCACTGTCCCTCAGCTCTTCAGCTCAAGG